CATTCCGCTCGGGTCTCTCTTCGGGTAGCTTTCACACCTTGTGCTCGACGATTGGTTGTCTAAATTTGATTGTACCAAAGATCTATACCCATTCCGAACTTCACAGTCAACAAAGTGAAATGGAGCAAGGGGAAGAGCTCCAGAGGAAATCCTTCTCATTTATATCGTAATTTCTATGGTTTCAGGTTTCACCTTTGCCAGTTGCCGAGCCGGCGCCTGCAATCGCGATGTATGCTGGTCAGACGGATCCACGCGATTGTCCTGTTCATGGTCGACGAGCCGCTGGCAGATTGTCCACTTTGAGCAACGGCACACGGATTTTGGAAAGCCGACAGTGACATCTAGTGTATGCGAGGTTTCGAGCGATAAGATTTGAGGGCGCTGAAATTGGAGGCCGAGCTGATCATAACAGCGAGGAATGTCGAGCGCAGAGGCAAGCACAGGGCCATCCTACAGTGACATCATTCTTGGGGTCTGTAAAGGATCAACGACTGAGAAGATGTACCCAGCCGCTTTCGCTAGATCTTTGCTATTTTGTGATGGGAACTATGAGATGGCTCAGAAGGAAAAGGTGCCGTCAGAACTCGGGCATTGCTCAGAGCCGTTTTGAACTGAGATCCCAGCTGGAGGATGGCTTCCTGTGGATGGTCTGCTTGACTTCTCCAGCTCAAATGTCGATAGATCGCGCTGAGCATAGCCCAAACCGCGTCTCATTCATAGTATTCTGGCCCCTTTCCGTCATCGCTCAGTCAAACCTCCTTCGATCGTGTCGTTTTGTCACCTGACTGGTAATATTCAACTGCTGTCTGTGAAAGTGCCCTAAAATCTGTTACAATTGCCTCAAAACGATCTCTTTTATCGCTGGTGTATATGTAATTACTCGCAAAGATGTTTATTACTTATAATAGTTACCATATAGTTAATTTCACTTAACTAAAGCCCTCGGTGGTGGAAAAGGAGCTCCTTAACAAAACTCGGTCGAAAAGTATCTATTGTATATGCTATATATGTGAACGATTATGTACACCCATTGTCTTTGTTACTGCTCAGTTTTCACTTACTTGTTCAAGGTTGTTCTTTGAATTGGGATTTGT